GGCGCAGAGGGTATCATTATTAACAGTATGGCATGAAGCAGTGTGTCAGAGCACTGAAATTTGAACACATGCATTTCCTGGGTTCAAATCTTTGTGCTGCAGCTTCCAAGCAATTAACATCTGTGTGTATGTCTGTTTTCTTTTGGAAAATGGAGATGATCACAGTAGCACCTAACTCTAAGGTGTTTCCTGAGCCACATACCTTTCATGGGTCTGAGTAGGACCTAGCACATAGCCAGCCACCTAGTACCTGTAACCCTTTATTCTGTTTCAAGCTGCTTCTGTAGCCTGGCTCTGCTTCAGAGCATTTCTTTGCTGTTTTGATAATGGTTGAGCTTGTAGCTGGTGTTCTCAGACACATCCCCAAAGTAAAGGCAGGGCCCACAAGAGAGCCCTTTCACACACTGATTAGTTGTTAGCATTTTTTATTAGTACTGGCTTTTGTCAGGTCATTCTTCCGGTCTGTAACCGTGTAGCTTTCCTTAAATATTTTGTCCCATTAGGCTACAAGACAGGCAGTCGAGGCAGCTAAAGTACGATTAAAAATGCCACCGGTTCTAGAAGAGCGAGCACCAATAAATGACGTGTTAGCCGAAGATAAGATTTTGGAAGGAACAGAAACGGCCAAATACGTGTTTACTGATATATCATACAGCATACCACACCGGGTAAGTGTCTATCTAATTGCAGAGTGACCTTTGTTTGTATTACCTGGTGGAGAAGGGCCTGACGGACAGTGTGATCTGGCTTTCTCCAAACCAGGACTCTGACTGGATGAGACTCTCCTGGAAGGTAAAGGAGGAGGAGGATAAGAACTGTGGCCTCACATCATTTTGTTACCATGTATTTCTCTGCGGAACATGGACACAGTGTTCTCGGGTGACTGAACAGAGACAGATGTGTGAGACAGGACAGGCGGAGTACAGACAGACCAACCCACTCCCAAATCACAGACAGAAATCTACAGGAAATTGGGAGATCCTTTTGCCTAAGTTAGACTGATATCCTAAGAAGCTTTCTCAGGATAGAGTGTTTCTAGTCTGTAAATTCCTTGATGATCCCAAGTAACTCAGATTCTCTAAATTTTACTTTCCAGAATTTTCAGTAAGAATGACAGATAGCTCTCAGATAATTTCAGGCATCACTGTTTTTTCTGTTGTAGTTGTTCTCCGGCTCCTCTTCCCTTCCAATTTAAAAGAACATGCTGGCATTCTGAAAACTGATTGACAGTTCAGCCCACAAGATGCATTAGGCTACTACAGAATGCTGAGAATGGGAGAAGGGTCACCCCATTGATCTTTGATTACCTACGATATGATTCGAGATCAAGCTGGGAAAGGGGAGGCCACATCACAGGTGGTGCAGATGCTAGACACAGGAACCTGGACTTCATTGGGAAGTCCTCCTCAGTCTTCATTTAGGATATCAGTCTGGAAGGACTGACGGAATTTTAGTTAATAAGATGGGATGGATCAGCTGAGAGGATAGGGTAGTTGAGGGGTACAGGAAAGGGAGAGAAGTGCTGATTGGAGCTATGTCCCTGTCTGTACACCAGCCGCCTGCACATCTGACATGATCAGGGATCACAGTTTTCATTTCAATCAGAATTTGCATTGTAGTGCCTTAATCAATGCAGTGCTATGAAGGCTGGTTGTGGGAGCATTTTATGGCTTCAAAGGGAGAAAGGACATTGAGATTCAGGTTTCTCAAATTACCAAAATTCTTTTGAAGAAAATTGTTCTGTTGGCATTTTTCTTTGCTTTTTCCTATTTTCAGAGCTTGATGAAAGTTTTAATAATCTTCAGAACATGTACTTCTGACAGATTGAGAGTCAGTACCATCTGGTTGATTAATACATTAATCAGGTGTGTATCAGTTATCAGCAGATGTGTTGTGAAGAATTGTGATCCACATTCCTGTACTTTTCTAGTTGTGTAGCAGTGTCCGAGAGAGAAATTGCCAGTTCTATGGTACAGACAATGGGTAGAATTCATAGGAAGTGATCCCATGGAGGGTTTTGGCGTTTGGAAAAGTGAAGAGACCAAAAGCAGGTGGATCGGTGTGCCTCTCTCTGACATGTTTATGTCTAATGCTAGTATGAGAAGTCACAGGTACAGCTCTTTTCCTCCCTGGCTGCTTGAGGGTATACCGTCATCATGAATGACACAGTAACTAACAACCAGGAAATTCATGACCAACCACTTCAGAGCAAACAAATGGTCACTGATGTCCTTCACCCCGGCAAGGCAACAGCACCCAAGATAGAACTTTGGGAAAACTAGTGAAGATGTACAAGACCACACCAGATGGCATCTTTGTGTTTGGTTCAGAACCCATTTTGGTGTGGCAAGACAACTGGCTTTGGCATGATTTACGATTCTTTGGATTATGCGAAGAAAAATGAACCCAAACATAGACTTGCACGACATGGCCTCTATGAGAAGAAAAAGGCGTCAAGAAAACAGGGAAGGGAACGCAAGAACAGAATGAAGAAAGTCAGGGGGACTGCAAAGGCCAATGTTGGTGCTGGCCAAAAGTCAAAGTAGTAAAGATTCTGCAGTGACTATCTGCGGTGATTGTGCGGATTTTTCATGAGAGGATTAATAAACTCAAAAATTTTTATGTGAAAATAAAAAAAAAAGTCACAGGTACAGAACTCCACATTCTTGGGTTTTTCCTCTTATCCCAAGAACTTTAAACACATACCATAAAGTAGTAAAATCAGTTTAGGTGAGATTTCGGGATGGGGAATGAAATCATTTGAGGTCTGGCAGTACTTCTTTCCTTGAAAATGGATTTCGACAAATCTCAGATCAGCTGTTTTTTTTTTAAGTTGAACCGTTTCCTGTCCTGAGCCCACATTAGCACTGTAGTGGGTACTTACTAATACTTTCACTTAGTTTTCTGATTGTCAGGTACACAACAGCAGTTAATTTAGGAAGAATCAATCCTTGTCAAGGTTTGGAGGTTTACAGTTATCATTGAACTCACAGGCATGACTACATTTTATTTTTCCAGGTCGCATCTTATATTTCTGATTGCAAACTATTCTTCTAATGGTCTTACTGAAACATAGAAACTAAACATAAGTCTTCATAGACTCACCCTTGATTGTTTTTTACTTTAGGAGCGTTTTATTGTCGTCAGAGAACCAAGTGGCACACTGCGCAAAGCCTCATGGGAAGAACGGGACCGGATGATACAAGTTTATTTCCCAAAAGAAGGCCGGAAGATTTTGCCACCAATAATTTTCAAAGAAGAAAATCTTAAGGTGACTTAGGTTCCATATTCTCGAGTCAGTGGTAATTATTTCTTTGTTGAAACAGTCGGCTCTGGTGGGGCTTGGCTCTTTGCCTTGGTAGCACACAGGTAAAACATGTCTAGGGACCTGACTAGGAAATACCGTGATTGACTTTGCTGGCATTTGAACCAGGTGTGACCATCAGAAAGCTTATGTTATTTTGGGACCAGCAGTTAGCATGATGGCTATGTCGCTGGACTCCCATGTAGTCAACTGCGGTTCATGTCCCGGACCCAGTGGCTTAAAACTCACGCCAGGCGCGTGTGTGTGCGTGCCCAAGATCCCGAGAGGAGAATGGAGAAGGGATTGCGGTGTGGCCATCCCCCCCCCCCGGGGGGGGGGTGATTCCTCGCTTTCTGTCTCTTTGTCTCTTTCTATCTGGAGAGCGCACATGCCCTAGAGCAAAAATCTCTCTCTCAAAAAAAAAAGAAAGCTTATGTTATTTCTTTATGCCTTTTGAGGGGTAGCGATGTGGCCTGTATGTGGACGGGCAGGCCTGCTGTGGCATCAGGTCAGGTGCTGAACTTGTATTCTCTGGTTCCAATTCTGCTGATCTAGACTGTGTACAGCCAGGACCGGCATGTTGATATCCTCAATCTCTGCGTCGCCCAGTTTGAGCCTGATTCTGCTGAGTATATCAGGGTGAGTATATTTTATAGTTTCTAAAATGTAGGCTCGAGTGTTGTTTTGAGTAAGAGTTTAAATATAGCACAGTGAGTTTGGTTATAATCTGTGATACAGGAGGAAGGGAAGGGAAATACCTGAAAATCTTTCCAGTACAGTCATGTGCCAGATATGTATTTAATGCTTGATTAAGGATGAGTAACTAAAGCTTGGAGAGTTAAGTAGCTTGCTGAAAGTTGCGTAGCTAGTAAATGGATAGGGTTATGACAAAATGTGATGACAAAGTCTATTCTCCTAGTGGTTGACCATTTGAGAATAAAGTTATTTATTAAAATTTGCCAGAGTGCAGTGTGATTAGTGAATACTCAGTACCATCTAGTGTAGGTGTTACTGTGGGTAGTGTAGGCGATGCCATGAACAAAGATAGGGTGTGCTGTGGTAAAGCCTACAGTCCAGAAATGACTGGGAGGGGTGGTAGTTAAGAATAAGCCTAAAATGTTAGGTGCTAAGAGGTTACACAGTGCCCTAAGGAAAGGCTTCATAGAGTTCGAGCAGGGCAGGGATCTTTGTAGTAGGTGGAATTAAGTGAGTAGAGGTGATTCATATAGAGAAGTCAGTATGAGCAGCAGGCAGATCAGTGAAGAGATGGCCACTAGTCTGGGTTGCCTCCATAGGGGAGTGGTTCGATATTCAGCTGGGAAAGGGGAGACCACATCACAGGTGACGCAGACGCCCGAGGAATCTGGACTTCATTGGAAAGTCCTCCTCAGTCTTCATTTAGGGAGGTCAGTCTGGAAGAACTGAAGGAGTCTTAGTTAATAAAGATGGAATGAATCTGCCGAGAGGATAGGGTAGTTGATGGGGTAGGGGAAAAAGGAGAGGCGTGATAATAGTCTTGATTTCTTTTTTTCTCCTGGTGATCAAGATATGGTGGTGTTTTATTTCCTGTAGTCTGTGTGTATGTAATAGGTGCTTAATTAACAAAGCTTGGCTACTGAAAAGTAATCAGTATGGCAATAAATGTCTAAGTTGCTCAGGCTGCCACACATTTCTACAGTAGAGGGGGCGCAGATGTGCTGTCATTTAGACCGATGCTTTATTAACAGAAGCCTCCTTCCTGCCTAAAGTGGGTTGTGCAGGAATGGTTGCAAGCATTGGTCAGTAGTGGAGCCAGATGTATGTAGACCTGGTTTTACTCGTGCTTTCTTGGGCAGCACTCATGCTGGTCACTGCACGTGGAATAACGCTGCTCACCTCTTCCTGTCGTGATTCTGAAGACGTGCATTTTACGTGGACAGGTTCATCACCAGACCTATGAAGATATAGATACACAGGGAAAGTACGACCTTTTACGTTCAACAAGACACTTTGGGGGAATGGCTTGGTATTTTGTAAATAAGAAAAAGATTGATGGTTTGCTGATTGACCAGATTCAGAGAGATCTGTAAGTATGATCTTAGTAAGTAAAAGAATCTTTTTATTTATTTATTTTTGGCCAGGACAGTTAATCTCTATTTAAACTATGGTATTTTTCTGATAACAGTGTATTATCCACTGACAAACTAAAGCTTTCACTTACCTCAATTTATTTATAGGTTTGTTCTAGCATTTCCTAGTTTCCCCAGTCTTTGCTTTTGTGGCGTATAAACAGGACCAGGTATTCTGAAACAGTAAGTGACCTGGGGTCTGTACTGTGTACTCTGAATGCTGACTAATCCTGGGCCCACCTGTGCTCCCGGGTGTCAGTCTTTCCAGACACTCTTAAGGGGCATTGAGCAGGACACGTAAAGCAGCAGGTGTTAGCTGAATGGGTGCTTTTCTTCTGGTAGAACCAGTGGGTCGTCGGGAAAGTCGTGTGTTTTTCTATGCATCTTTCCCCATGACCTAATATTTCTAGAGCCTTTTCCGTAAAAGCTATTATCTTTTTAAATTTCTTGCACTGATATCCCTTGCTTTTACCATCGTTTATTTAGTTATTTAGTTTTTTGCCGTACGTAGGGCGTATACACACTTACAGGAGATGAGAGGGAAAGTAAGAAATCAGCCCCCGGGGGGTATGGCCATGCCACAATCCCTTCTCCTTATTCTCCTTTCAGAATGTTGGGTGCGCACACGCATCTGCGCACACGCACACACGCACACAACTGGCATGTTTTTCAAGCCTCCTGGTCGCAGTCCTCGAACTGTGGAGTCAGCCATGTGGAATCCAGAACCTTATTGACCATGCCACCTACTGGCCCTCTGTTGCAGCAATTTTAAGGCATCACAGAAGTTAATTTTTTTCCAAACTATTATGAAACAAAGACTGTCATATTTTAGCATCAAGCTGATATTTTCACTGAAAAGAGTGTACTTTATGGTTTGTGGTAAAAGTGCAAAGAAAATTATGTTTGAACATCTTTCAGTTGGTTGGGTTAGGAGGGCCAAAATGAGAATGAAACCAGTATGGCTGTAGTCAACTTGCCACAAAAACCCCTTGTCCATGTTTAAAGTCCAAGCTATAAAAAAAGAATTTAGTGGTTACTGTCACCTTAAGACAGGAATTTCTGGTGCACAGAATACATGTAATCAACCATGCACACAAAAGGCAAGGCAGCTGGAACTGGAAGACTCTGTAAGTGTTAAGAAAACTTAGCCCTCGGGACCAGCAGTTAGCGTAATGGCTATGTTGTTGGACTCCCATGTAGTCCACTGCGGTTCAAGTCCCGGATCCGGTGGCTTAAAACTCAAGCTGATTGCATGTGCGTGTGTGCCCAAGATCCCGAGAGGAGGATGGAGAAGGGATTTCAGTGTGGTCATCTCCCCTTGGGGGGGTGATTTCTCGCTTTCTGTCTGGCAAATGCACGCGCCCTATAGCAAAAACCTCTCCAAAAAAAAAAAAAAGAAAAGAAAATGTAGCCCACATTGGAAAACAGGGCATCATTTTTCCTAGAAACGGCATTTCTAGTGGTGATTTCCTGGCCAGCCCACTTCCCCAGCCTCTGTAGTGTAATGCAGTTCAGCAGAAATGTACCTCCACCCCTCATAAGCAGGGGCTGGTAGTGACGGGGTGCTCAAAAGTGACTTTTCTTTACGTTGCATTAGCAGTGACATCTATGAATGAACTGTCTACTTATAAAGTTTCTTGAATGATCTGAAATTATAAAAATAGTATGATTTTGTAAAAAAAAAAATGAGAGCAACACAGAAATGTTTGTTTGAAAACTGTCAACATGATTTATTGAGGTGTACTAATATGTGATGTTATAGTATTACTCAGTATCACAAGTACACTCATCTGACGTGGCGCATGCACACTGGGAGGGTGGCACCGTTCCTGCCTAACCCTCCTGTTATTTTGACTGGGCCACATGAGCTTCCTGCAAAGCCCAGGCTGGACAGTAGAGGGTGCACATCCTCACTGGATGGAGCCCTACCAGACAGTGGATTCTGCACACATATATTTCTGACTCATGTCCTACTGCTGCAGGTCCTTTTAAAATCTTTTCAAAAATATAAACTTGCTTGCTTTTAAGTATGGGCTGGGTGCTAAAGCTAAATTTAACTATTCTGTGAGATGCAGGCATGAGACTTCAGCATGAATCTGATGCAACCCTGAGCATGACTATAGCATGTAGAGACCCAGTGAAGCTCTTTATAGGGCTACAAGCCTAAACTCTAAAGGGAATTATTTTTAACATCTATTTGGGGAAATATCTTGTTGCCATGTTTTCTGAACTTTGTTAGAATATAATAAGCACAATAGATTTGTACTGAGCATTTTCGATTCTTCCCTCCTGAAAAGCTTTCCTGTAAGAGCAGCTCTGGTTTCTCAGTTTCCCCAAGGAACGATCTTTAGGGTAGAAGGGCTTTGGGGTAAGCCTAGAGCACTGAGGTCACCGTGAATTGAGGCAATCTGTGCCTGTGCCCACTGTCACTTTACCCTTTATCCCCTAATGCAAGTAATCTGATAACAGGGAAGGTGGGAGTGGTAGACGGGCAAGGCCTGTAGCTGTGAGGTGGCAGGTGGTATAGACGTTGACTATGATAAGGTAGTGATGGTCTGGTTTGGGGAGAACATTTTAATGTTGATAATAAACTGTTAGAACAGGGCCTAGGGCCTGGTGGTCCTGAGAGCCAGATCTCACAGGGCTGACTGTGGCCTGAGTTTCAGCCCCAGAGGTTTGAAACACACATTGGGTGTGCCCAGAAGCCTGACAGATGGAGAAATGGAGAAGGGGTTTGTAGCATGGCCATGCCCCACTAGGAAATGCTTTCTCCCTCTCCACCTGTCGAGTGCATGCACTCCCTCTGGCCAAAACAAGAACTGTGTACTTAAAAGGTAAGTGTGAAGCAAAAGAACGGAGTCAGATTGCTGGTGCAGACTGGACTTTTATCTGATGTGCATAGTTTCACACTTGCCCCACGAGGCTGTTAGTTCTTAACTATGTTCTTGTGAGGAGTCAGGTGGCCCAGAATCCCTGCGGGCCACTTGTAGAGGCCATTTATCCACTAATTTTCATCAGTCTTAATGAAAATTTGTTAGCAGCTATCACTGAAGGCAGTCAACTTTGCGATCCTGGTGACCACCAACCACAGCTCATCAGGGTGCGCTGTAGTTCTGCTCGCCAAGCTGGACTGCACTGTCACGTGCAGGTGAAGGGGGCTGGCCGAGAACTCGTCTACCCTTAGGAATGTTGTTTCTATGAGAAAAAATATAGCCTTATTTAGAATATATTCATTTAGAATGGGACACTTTACTGCAGTGACTCCTGCCTTCCCTGCATTGCAGAGTAGAGAGGCCAAAGTTGGTCAGTTTTCCTGAAAATGTTTTTGGAAATGTAAAACCAAATCCCACCCTTGACCTTAGAAAGTCTGAACTGTAATTTAGTTTGAGGCTGGCACACTTTCCTAGTGTGAAGCAGATGAAGGAAACCCCTTGGTAACGTTAAGCCTCCTCACTCCAGAATCGATGATGCCGCCAGCTTGGTGCAGCTGTATCACATAGTCCATCCAGACGGCCAGTCCGCTCAAGAGGCCAGAGAGCAGGCTGCCGAGGGAATCAACCTAATTAAGGTAAAGGGTCTTTTCTCACACGGGCCGTGCTGTAGTGTTAACAGATGGGACATGCTCAGGAGTGGTTCATATTTCATGGTAACTAAACAGATTAGCGAATGGACCATCTGTGGGGCTCGGAACCATCAGTGTGGTTATAGCCCTCATGTTCCCTCGGCCTGGACACAGACATAAGTGGGCGGGCAGGGAGGAGCGGCAAGTAGATGGGGCGTGGGCATGTTGGCAGCTGCAGGCCAGAGACCAGATAGTGGGGGCAGTGGCCTCTGTCCTCCAGAGCACTAGAAGGGCTGAGCTGCATCTGAAGTGTTCAAAACACCAGCAGGACAGGGGGAAAACTATCTGGCACATGTTCCTAAGAGCAGCGTTCTGTCCTTCGGTGTGGTCATTTATTTTTTAAAGGGATTTTTGCTGTAGGGTGTGTGTGCTCGCTGGAGAGACAGAAAGCAAGAAATCGCTCCCCACCCCCACCCTCCCACGGAATCGCCAAAACTGAGTCC